TTTTTTAAAGATTTTAATAATGACACAGCCATAAATATATTTGGTTTTTAATTGGTTTTATAGGGGAAATGTTTTTTGTGTTGTTTTTTAATATGCTGTGAGCCGCCCTGAGTCCCGTGGGGAGAAGGGCGGCATAGAAGTTAGTGAAATAATAATAATAAATAATAATAAATGCAGTTGTCATCAAATCATAACTTTAAAACTTGTAGAGATCAGCAATAAGAAGCCATTTCTTCTCCATTTCTCACAAAAGGTAAGTATACTAGAACATGTTTCATGATCTACAACAGCAAAATCTATGCTAAATTAACTACATCATTCCTATGGGGAATTAGAGAAGTCCAGTAATGTAGGTTTTTCTAAGTTAAGACAAGATGCACACATAACAATTTCAATAAGCTATGAGCAATTCAGCTTGAATCTGATTGTGGGTTTTTCTGATTTCAGAAATAAATCCAGATTTATAACAGTAATGTTCATACTGCCAAAAGATGATATTAAACTGATTAGAAGTTTATATTTTTCACAACTTCTCAATACCTCTACAAATGAATATACAGCCTGGCTGTAGGAATTTTTAAACTGATTGAATAAGCAAATAGTATAGTGGCATGTAATATCTCACAAACTGGTGAATATAAAATATTTTAATTATTCTGATCCACGGGTATCCAGACTGTGGCGCAGAGCAAAATGTTTGCAGGGCCAAAATTTTAGTAACATTATTTGTACTTGTCCTATATATGCAAAGAATAAGAGGGCACTCAAAAGCTTCTAAACACATATTTAATGCACATTTTATACAAATTTGTATAATTGAGTCTTAAATGTTCATGAATCTCTAATAAAAATAGTTTCATTCCACAATTAAGGTTTTATTTTTTGGGGGGAGGGAGGGTGGATGAATCCAAAAGGGATGAAATCCAATCCCTTATATTTTCAGTTCTTCCAGTATCACTCCTATGCACAACATCTTTTCTCAAGGTCTTCCTTGGGCTTTGGATAGGCTGTTGTTGCTTTATTGGTTGTTCCTATTAACACCAAATGACCTATGAATTATCCAGTAAGTAGTAATTTAGAGTGCCTTAATCTTTTCTGTTACTTATCTGAAACTTGGATCACATACATGTTTTGTCATAATATCAAGTAATGCTAAGCATAAATTAACAGAAAAAGTATGCAGTGTAACTTTTTTTTCTAGGAAAAATTCAAGTTTAGACAAAGGGTCTAGGTCAAACTTGCGACGTCACTTGACATCGCGCGACGTATCGGAGCTTTTTCACCATTGCCTGCAATGGGGTGGGTGCGGTTTCTTCATGTCGCATCCGGCCTGCGGGCCGGCAGTTTGACACCCCTGGTCTAGATAGTTCTTTATAAAAGGAGATATTCTGTAGCTAATGCCACATTTAAAATACTCTTATTAATATTCATGCAAGTAAATTGGGTACCCAAAATTGTGAGGTATGAATGAGTAGCTATGGGAGAGGAAGACCTATGAGATAAGCTGATCCCAAGGTTTTAAATACAAATAGAAGCATTTTAAATTAAGTCTACAAATAGATTGGAGTCCTATGAATTAGTGAATACTACAATAATGTTCAAGCTTTGTTTTTAACAAGCTGCAACTTCTGAACTATTTTTAAAGATAATTCAGAGCACATCTTGTAATAGTTTAAATGGGAAGTCATTAGAGTTACATATATTATATTAGCCTTTAATTATGTTACATTCAAAAGGATGTGAAATCTTTGGTTTCTTCCGGAGCTTAGTTATTTGCTTGTAAATGTTTCATTACCCAAGTTGGTAACATCATCAGTGCTAGTGAGTATGAGATCATCAGTGCTAGTGAGTATGAGTATCCTACCCTGCTAGTGTTGGTGAGGGTGTGGTGGGGGTTTTTTGGTAGTGCCTATCTGGGTTTTGGCTGCTGGAGGGGGTTTTCTGGTCTTTTTGTTTCCTTCTTAACTTTTATTGTCTTTTGAATGGTGTATAAATACGGTTTATTTCTGTGCATCTGTTGATGGCTGATTTATCTGAATGTCAAGCTTCTAGCATTTTGGATTTGGCAGGGACTAGAATGCTTGCAGTTTATTAGCTGAAATTGTGGTTGAGTCCATATGTTATGAGATTAAGGAGATTTCATTGTGTCTTTTTACTGCTGGTTGGTATTCATGGATGTACTTTGCTAGTCTTCTGCCTATTTGTCCTATAGGCCAGCTGTTATAGCCCTTACACTGCATAGTATGTTTTGGTTTACTTAATATGTTTTGGAGATCTTTAATTGGTTTGTGTGTTACAGTGAAGCTTTGTGGTTGTAGTAGTGTGTTGATTGTTTCTGAGATGTTTTTGATGAATGGCCGTGTTACCATTTTGATAGCTTTGTTGGTTGTGCTTGTAGTGAGTTGTGGCAAGCACTTTTTGATAAAGTTAAACCCCTCTTTCCCATACTGTACTACCTTTCAGATATGGGACAGAATTCTTGAGGCTTTTTTAAAAATTAAGTCACAAATGGCAATAATCAATCACATTAAGACACTGGCTAGGTTTGACTCATCAGTTTAAAGTTTTTCTTTCACAAACTGTTTCCTATGTCCTAATACAGTGGTGGCGAACCTATGGCACAGGTGCCAGAGGTGGCACTCAGAGCCCTCTCTGTGGGCACGTGCGCCGTCACCCCAGTCCTAGGCCTTCAGCTGGGTTTTTATAAAACCTTTTCGCTTTAGGCCTCCACTGCCTTGTGCAAAAAGAAAAAGGCTCAATCAGTCAATTTCAACTTCTCAAGGGAAAAAAAAAGATCTTGCAAAGCTGGAATTGATTGATTGAACTTTTTAGTCCCACCCAGTCTGCCGTTACCACCGCAGCCAAGCCCACCGAATGGGCCACGCCCACCCAATGGGCCACACCCATCTGGCACCCGACGATGCATAAGTGGGTTTTGGGTTGCAGTTTGGGCACTCGGTCTCTAAAAGGTTTGCCATCACTGTCCTAATATAATCAATAACTGATAACTTTTCATAAAGTTAAATCAATTTTATGAATACATTATTCGTCAGCTCAGTCTAACATTTACAGTACATAATAGAAGGTGGAGTTGTGGGGGTAGGGTAGGGTGGAATTACTGTAACAGAAGAATACAGAATAACAGAGTTGGAAGGGGCCTTGGAGGTCTTCTAGTCCAACCCCCTGCTCAGGCAGGAAACCCTATACCAGGGATAGGCAACCTTGGCTCTTTTATGACTCGTGGACTAACTCCCAGAATTCCTGAGCCAGCATGGCTCAGCTTAGAAACCTCTCCCTTTCCCCTCAGCATGGCTGGCTCAGGAATTCTGGGAGTTGAGTCCACGAGTCATAAAAGAGCCAAGGTTGCCTACCCCTGCTCTATACCATTTCAGACAAATGTTTCTCCTATTTCTTCTTAAAAACTTCCAGTGTTGGAGCACTCACAACTTCTGGAGGCAAGTCCTTCCACTGATTAATTGTTCAAACTGTCAGGAAATTTCTCCTTAGTTCTAGGTTGCTTCTCTCCTTTAGTTTCTACCCATTGCTTCTTGTCCTACCCTCAGGTCCTTTGGAAAATAGATTGACTCACTCTTCTTTGTGGCAACTCCTTAGATATTGGAACACTGCTATCATGTCACCCTTAAGATCTCTTCATAGGATCTCCACTCTCTTAATCCTTGTACTTGACTTCTGGAGTGTTTAAATATAGCAATATCTAAGTGATAAAGCTCCCACCCAGGCAGGTAGTTTTTCTTTAGAAATGAAATATCACTCATCTGAAATTTGGATGGAGTGAAAAAGCAGATTTTCCCAGTCTGATGAAGCATAAAGATAACTGGCTTAGATATTTTTGGATTGTGTGACTATTGCTAGAACAAACCTAACAGTGGGATAACAAAAATGAAATGTTTTTATTTTATTAAAAAATAAACTATGTAAGGCATAGATCCGTAGACCAAAACTAATAATCATGCAGTTGTAAACAGATATAAGAGCAAAAATAAGTACAGTATCTACAACTGAGCAAAACAGCACTGAAAAGAAATAAAATAACTCTGACATATTTTTTCTGCCCCTTTATCTCATTGGTTCCATTTCTGTCATGGCTTTTAAGAGCCTGTATCTTAGGTCCAATAAGGAAAAATGTGTTTATACATCCTTTGAGACATGC